CATCTAACCACAATATTGTATTTTACTTGGAGAAGATTTTTGCTTCCTTTTGCTGAAACTATCATTAAAATTGACCCGCTATCTTCTTTCAGTTGTGGCTAGACATTGTTAAAATATCAATGATGTTCTTAAAAGACAATTTGCTAAAGATCTAATAAATGCTGTTAATTAACTATGTGTGCATGCTTGTTTGCTGTGTAATTGCATTCTCAATTTCTCATCATTTTAAGCACACACACGAAACATGCAAATGCAGACACACACTCATACACATATGCGCACATATAGGGGGCTGCGTGCACACATATGCAAATGTTTTACTGCTGTCTTTGAATTAATTATGATAGTTATAAAATAGGGAAAAGTGAAAAGAACAATATTCCAAGCTGTGTTTTCGGGGAGAAGGCAAAAGTTAAAGAATTGTTTTGTCTCTCTTGTCAAAGAGAATAATAAACTTGGTTAGATATACAGGACAAAAATATAAAATATGGTGAGGCATGAATGTCCACAGACAGCATAGAGAAGACATGTCAAACTCGTGACATCGTGTGACATTGCGCAATGTATCGGAGCTTTTTCGCCATTGCCGGCAATGGGGTGGACGTGGTTTCCAGATGATGCGTCCGGCCCATGGACCAGAAGTTTGACACCCCTGGCATAGAGTAAGCCACAAAATGTGTTAACTTGTCACAATGCAAATGCAATCACATTTTTATTTGCATCCAATCATTGCTTATAATTACATAAGAGGCAGAGATTGCCTTATGATGTCATGATGTTAATTCCACTATTCTGACATCATCATGGTTAGTTGTGGGAATAGTTGGGGTGAAATGTGGGGTAAAATGTTTCACCTTTAATTCCATTTTCCTGCATATTATTTTTCCATACCATAAAAGTATGCAACTTTTCAAAACTGGGAGTGATTTAGTTCATCAATTCATCCCTCTTAAGTTGTTTCTGATGTATTATATAGTGAGGGGTTTTTTTGCTGCTGTTTTTTTTCCTTTTAATTACACAGCTATGTAATATGGTGTGCCACAAAGTTAATCGCTGCAATCTGAAGAGCATTACTGGTTCCCCTAACTCTTGTCATATAAATCTTTAATACTGAGCCTTTAATTATCATCCTCATGGCAATTTTGTAAAGAACTATCTGTTATTCAATGACAGCAAACTCCTCAATGATTGTCTGTGGTAGAGTAAAACTTTTGCCATAATAAAATGAAGATGGAGAATACTGGTGGGCATTTATTGTGCTGCATAGCATTGTAATCATCCTGAAATTCATGGACAATGTCTTGGAAAGCTCCTAGTGCCCCAACAGAATTAGAGTTTGAAGGTTAGGCTGGAAATTTGAAAGAAGAAAAACCCATCCCCAATAAATATAAGTACTGAGAAACACTTGTTGACAAGGAAATGACATGGTTCAGCTCATGGGATCAGATCACCAAAACAAAAATCTGAGAGATTCATTTACACCCTTTCATAATAGTGTTCCAATAGCAAACATAAATTCATAAAGGAAGCAGTTTGCACTGTGATGTTCTGGCAACATTTCATTATTTGTGTTATCCATGGAACCTAGGTGTTTTAGACGCATTCCACTGTCCTGGCCACAGTTAAGTATTCTACTTTCTGATATTTAACTGAAAAAAGGCAAAGAAAAAAAAACACTACATAAACTAGGGCAAAAATGGTGAATTGGGTTTGAATAATATTTAATACCTCAATATGTAAAAATAAAAATCAACAAACTAGCTGGTTCTACGAATTATACAAATCCATGATATTTAGGACCTTTCAATACATCTCCTATTAATTTTCACTAAAGTTGTTGGCAACATCAGTTCTGCTATTGAAGCACTAAAGTATAAGACAATCTGCCCTGGGCTGAATTTCATGATATGAGATCATTCTCACAAATTTTACCAAAGAGTTTTGAGTTTTTATCTTCTTGTTTTGAGAAAGGGGTAGCACCTGTGTGTCAATATATTGGCCAATATAAAGTGAAATGATAAAACTGCAGTGGTAAAAGAGCAAGAGGCAATAAATCACTTCCCTAGAGAGGATCATAAAAACTAGTCACAATGTACTTGTTGGCACACTTGAAATAAATTAAGTTATCAGAACATTGGGTACCAACACAATTTATGCCTAATCTTTTGTTCACTTATCAAATATCACTAAAAATCCAATAGCAGTAGTTTCTAGAATAAGCATTTTTCTTCTCAGAAACAGGATTACTGGATTGCATGACATATGAATGTATAGTGTCCTGGAGCATTCCAGTGGAAGCAATTGATTTATTAATCTTATTCCAGCAACTTATTTACTCTGAAGTCTTCTGTTTCTTAGCTTGTTTTTGCAACTTTTGCCAGCCAAGTCCACTCTTAACCACACATTCTGCTTGACAAAATATTTGATAGATTTGTGTTAATATGCCCAGGACAAGCATCCTGGACTGGGTAATCTTAAGCTAATTTCTTATCTTTGTCTCCAAGGGGCAGGTGCTTAGCTTTATTGATTCCATAAACAACAAAGAAAGCTGGTCCCATTGTCCAGGGCTAAATGCAAATTTGTTTCTGTTGTGCACAGTTCAGGGCCAAAACTGAAGTGTTGGACTCTCCGAAAGGAAATAAGAATGAAAAAGTAAATATAACCACAATCTTCATACACATATCTTATAATCATAAAATCCACCTTTGTAAAAGTAATGATATTGCTAGACAAAAAACTAGTAGGCTTCAGTTTAAATATTGAACATATACTGGATGCCAAAGTTCTTGTGACAAAGATACTCTCTGCTTTAAGTACTTTTTCCTCGGTCTCTGAAGGATCTTAGGCCATTCTATCATCAGCAAGTTTTTGTTGAACAATACTCTCAACTGCCAATCATAGATATAAGTGGGATAGCTAAGGTTTTAAGACTAGACTCATACTCGTGATAATAGATGAACAGGGAACAAGAACTATAATAAGGAATAAAAGAAAAAAATGCAGGCATCATGCATTCATTTGTAAGGACAGATGAAAGGACTGAAGTGAGAATGAGAATTACGTTGTGATTTTCTTTTATCTAAATTCAAGCCTAAATTGTTTTCTCAACAAATTAGGTATAGCTGGACAAATAAAGGTAATGAATTCAGGATGTTCCTAAGCCAAAGCAAACTGAACTTTATCATTGCCATGTGCTTTATTTTGCTCCTGAACCTGATGAGATTTTGCATGCTGCTATTCTGATTTCTCTTATTTAGAATTAATTAGGAAAAAAGTGGGAAAAAATAAAAGTTTAGTAAGTCGAAATCCCAAAACAGGATTTGAATGTTTGGGGGCATTTGAGGGAAAAGTCATATTTGTATGTAGACATATTTTTCTCAATTTTACCCAATTTGCATCCCAAACTGAAATGTTGGGGAAAGTAGTACCATAAGCAGGTAAATTATCTTTTCCTCATTACTCCAATGAAAGTTGTGACTAAATTTTCTTTCTTGCCTTCTTGTTTCACTATTATGTTCCACTAAAATTTAAGAAAAATGTGATCATAAAAGCCTATACCAGCACAATACCATTGAGAAAGAAAAACAAGAAATTTAAGAAGAAACCAGCATGGCTGCACAAAGATCTCTCTGACAAACTTAAAGACAAAAAGGACAAATACAAAAAATGGAAAGAGGGGCACATAACTAAAGCCGATTACCAGCAAATAGCCAGAACATGCAAAGATGAAATCAGGAAAGCAAAGATGAAGTCAGAATGAACAAAGACTTGCAACAGAAATCAAAGTTAATAAAAAAAACCACATTTCTTCCAACATATTAACAGCAAGAAAAAAGTCAAGAAAACTGTGGGCCCACTAAAGAGAGAAGATGGAAAGGAAATAACAGACAACAGGGAGAAAGCAGAGCTCCTTAACTCATACTTTGCATCAGTCTTCACACAAAAAGAAACTATAGCCCAACATATAAAAAAAAAACATTGTAAAAGACATACTAGAAACAAAAATTAAAATAAGCAAGAAAATGATAAGAGAACACCTATCTGACCTGACAGATTACATCCCAGAGTTCTGAAAGAGCTGGCAGATGTTATTTCAGAACCATTGTACCACATCTTTCATAAATTCTGGAGCACCAGGGAAGTACCTGAAGATTCGAAAAGGGCTGATGTGGTTCCCATCTTCAAGAAAGAGAAAAAATGGACCCAGGAAACTACAGACCAATCAGTTTAACATCAATACTTGGGAAGATCCTAGAATAGCTAATAATAATAAAAAAAACAGATCTGCAAACAACTAGAAGCAAATGAAGTCATAAACAGTAGCCAGCACAGGTTTGTTAAAAACAGATCATGCCAAACTAACCTTATTTTCATTCTTCGATAAAGTGACTAAACTAGTAGACCAGCGAAATGCTGTAGATGTAATATACCCGGCTACTGAACTGCAGGAACACCATCACGCTTGCTAGAAGAGCTGGCAGATAGCGGCGGAGCGGAGCGGAAGGGCAGCTTCTCTCCAGGCACCATCCCAAGCAGCAGAGCAAAAGCCGGGTGAGGAATTCGCGAGAGGAAGAAGCCTCCTCTGACCGCGTTGGAAAAGAACAACCGCCATTAAGCCGCGGCGGCGGCTCTTGCTGCTGCTGCTGCTGCTGCAAAGGCGGCTCCCGGAATCTCTGGGCGGCGTGGAGCAAAGAAGACAGTGAGAATTGCCAGCCTGGAGGTTCCGAGGTGAAGTCACGGCACAACCCAGCCCAGCGTCGGACCCCACCGCCCGCGGAGGACCCGCCAGCGTTGCTCGCCCTCTCCCCTGCCCTATCCCCCGCAGCCTCGGAGCCAGCCTGCCCGCCAGGTCACAAGAGGCGGAAGGACTGTTGCTGGAGGGGGGCCGCGTCTCTTTCGCAGGTGCCATTTTGTGGGTCCGCGTTGTCTGGCTTCTTTCCTTCTCTCTGGGCCTCCTCGGGATGGGCGGGCCCGGTGCAGCTGGGCGTGGAGGTGTTCGTGGACGGCGTGCCCGGGGGGGGGCATCGTGGATGGAGCTGCGCGACCTCTTCGAGGCGGCCGTGCCGGGCGTGGTGGTGAAGGTGGCTCTCATGAAGCAGTTCGCCTTCATCCACCTGCGCGACGAGGAGGCGGCCGAGCGCACCATCCAGAAGCTCAATGGGCACCTCCTGCACTGCCACCACGTGGTCGTGGAGTTCTCCCGCCCGAGGCCCACCCACACCGTCAAGACCTTCGTGGGCAACGTCTCGGCCGCCTGCACCAGCGGCGAGCTGCGCGTCCTCTTCCAGGAGTTTGGGCCCATCATCGAGTGCCACATCGTGAAAGGAGTGGGAGAGGCAAGCTTGTGGCCTAGAAATCTACTCTGTATATGCTCAGAGGTGTTGTTACATACTCCATTCCCGGCTGCGATCCAAGCAATTGAAACCAACTCAGCTTTAAGGAGCCCCAGTTTGACTAGCTGTTCCGCCATGGCTGGGTTGACTTTACACAATTGTTGGATGTCCGGAGAAGCCATTGATGAGCTGCACGAGAGGTACTTGGAGAAGTTGACCCAGCTCTTTGAGGAGCATAAGGCCAAGTACGGTCTGCCCCAAGACAAGTACCTAATGATCACCTAGCCGGCCACATTGGACCAGCCTGGGACACAGAGGGGCAATATTATTTTTTTAGAGAATGTTTGTTGTGGGTGTGAGTATGCATGTAGATGAATGGTGGCCCTGTTATGTATAAATTTTATTATTGTATTTAGGGCGTATGAATGTGAATATTTTTATTTTCTATGTATATAAATTGAGTGTGAATGTGTATTGAGAGTTTGGGGTATGAGAATGGTGGAGTCGGGGGCGGAGCCTGGTACCCCCTCTGCTGAGTGCAATAGCAAAAGTAGGGGGGGGCAGGACTTACCTTTGGGCTTGGTCTGTATGGAAAGCGAGTCCGGTCAGGAAGGGAGAAGGCTGGTGAGGGTGGGGGTACTCCGGGGAAGGGAGAAGGTTGGAGCATCCCGGTTATGACTGGGATGGGCAGATACGGCAGGAGCCGAGGGGCAGGCCATCTTTGGGGAACGAGGACTCGCTATGTTAGAGCGATTCCTTGTTCTGGCCCCTCAAAAGGCTCATCCTATAGTACTGGTGACAGGGGAGTACAGGGCCCTAATTGTAGGCTGCTGTTGCTTAATGCCAGGTCCGTTGTCAGCAAAGCCCCCCTTGTCCGTGATTTAATATTGGACAGCGCGCTGGACCTGGCATGTATAACCGAAACCTGGCTGGGCCCTGAGGGGGGTGTTTCCCTCTCAGAGATGTGCCCGGACGGGTTTGTGGTGCTTCATCTGCCTCGACATCAGGGCAGGGGTGGGGGAGTGGCAGTCATCGCTTGGAAGTCCTTGAGTCCTCGTGGGATTCCTGCCCCGGAGGTTGTTGGGTGTGAGTCCCTCCTATTGAAGTTGGGTTCATGGGTTCAGTTGGGCTTGCTGCTGACGTACCTACCTCCCAGCTGCATTGCAACAGCCCTGCCTGCATTGCTGGAATCAGTAGCCGGGTTGGCGGTGGAGTTCCCCAGACTTATAGTACTGGGCGACTTTAACCTACCATCACTCGGCGATCACTCAGAGGCAGCGCAGGAGTGCATGGCTTCCATGGCAACCATGGACCTGACCCGGGTAATTCAGGATCCAACTCATAGGGGTGGTCACACACTCGACCTTGTGTTTCTCTTGGGGCAATGGAGACATGATCTGGAATTAAGAGGAATAGAGATCTCACCCTTGTCATGGACAGATCATTTCCTATTGAGGCTGGACTTCAGAGCATCGCAGGGAGAGGGAGCCGACTAGGTGGTTCCGCCCCAGGTGCCTAATGGACCCAGATCGGTTCCACGAGGAGCTTGGGGAAATACCTGACTCCCTTGTCCACAACTCGTCCAGGTCCCTGGTTGCGGCCTGGAATGAGGCGGCGTCCGGGGCCCTGGATCGAATTGCGCGTTTGTGACCTCTCTGTGGTAGTGGTCCCCGGAGGGCGCCTTGGTTTACTGAGGAGCTCCGGGAGATGAAGCGCCACAAGAGACGTCTAGAGCGATGTTGGAGGGCCAGTAACTCTGAATCTGACCGATCACTATTAAGAGCCTATCTTAGGACTTATTTAGTGGCGATAAGGGCGGCAAAGTGTGTTCACTTTTCCGCACTTATTGCGTCTGCATAATCTCGCCCAGCCACCTTGTTTAGGGTGACCCGCTCCCTTCTTAAAGTGGAGGAGGCGGAGGAACCCTTGCAGGGGAGAGCTGAGGAGTTTGTTCAGTTTCTTTCGGACAAAATCGCTCAGATTCAGAGAGACCTGAACTCCGACTGGGCAGTGCCAGCCGAGTTGCCAGGGGCTGGTCTTAGTCATGTTATCTGGAGCGAGTTTGAGCCTGTGACCCCTGATGAAGTGGACAAGGCCGTGAGGGCAATGAATGCCGCCACCTGTTTATTGGACCCGTGCCCCTCCTGGCTGGTTTCTGCCAGTAGGGAGGTGACACGAGGCTGGCTCCAGGCGATAATCAATGCCTCCTTGATGGAGGGGTCTTTCCCGCAACCTTTAAAGGAAGCGGTGGTGAGGTTCCTCCTCAAGAAGCCTTCCCTGGACCCAGCTGTTTTGAAGAACTTTCGTCCCGTCTCCAACCTCCCCTTTGTGGGGAAGGTTGTAGAGAAGATGGTGGCATCCCAACTCTTGCGATCCTTGGATGAAACTAATTATCTGCACCCTTTTCAATCTGGTTTCAGGCCCGGCTACAGCACTGAGACTCCTTTGGTCGCACTGACCGATGACCTCTGGCGAGCCCAGGATAGGGGTTATTCCTCTATCCTGGTGCTTCTTGACCTCTCAGCGGCTTTTGATACCATCGACCATGGTATCCTTCTGCGTCGTCTCGGAGAGGTGGGGGTGGGCGGCACCGTATTGCGGTGGTTCTCCTCCTACCTCTCTGACAGGTCGCAGTCGGTGTTGGCAGGTGGACAGAGATCGACCCCTAGGCGCCTCGATCATGGGGTGCCTCAGGGCTCGGTCTTGTCCCCCCTCCTTTTTAACATCTACATGAAATCGCTGGGTGAGATCATTCGGCGACACAGGATGAGGTATCATCAGTACGCAGATGATACCCAATTATATATCTCCACCCCGTGTCCTGGAAGATGTGAGGGTCAGGATGGGGGTGAACAGGCTTAGACTCAACCCTGAGAAGACCGAGTGGCTCTGGGTCTTGCCTCCCAAAGGCCAACTGGATGGTCCATCATTAGTCCTGGGGGGGGCAAATTTACCTTCCTCAGTGCAGGCACGCAACTTGGGTGTCCTCCTGGACTCATGGCTAAATTTGGAACAGCATCTTTCAGCTGTGGCCAGAGGGACCTTTGCACAGGTTCGCCTAGTGCACCAGTTGCGGCCTTATTTGGATCGGGAGGATTTACTCACAGTCACTCATGCCCTTGTCACCTCAAGACTGGATTACTGTAACACGCTCTACATGGGGCTACCCTTGAAGGGCGTTCGGAGGCTGCAGTTGGTTCAGAACGCAGCCGCAAGGGCGATTGTGTGCGCACCAAGGTACGCCCACGTGTCACCTATCCTCCGTGAGCTGCACTGGCTTTCTGTGGGTCTCCAGATGCAATTCAAGGTGTTGGTTATCACCTTTAAAGCCCTTCATGGCATAGGGCCAGGTTACTTACAGGACCGCATTCTGCCGCACAGTTCCCAGAGACCGGTGAGATCCCATAGATTGGGCCTCCTTCAGGTCCCGTCGGCCAGACAATGTCGGCTGGCGGGCCCTCGGGGAAGGGTCTTTTCTGTGGTGGTTCCAACCTGGTGGAATCAACTTCCCCCCGAGGTTCAAACTACTCCCACCCTGCTGGCCTTTAAGAAAGCTGTTAAAACTCTCCTATTCCGGCAGGCCTGGAACTGATGTCCCCGGGGGGGGGGGGCGGGATATGATCGGACTCGTGGTATGACTGTATTATTTTATTGTTTTATGATTGTTTTAACTCTGTACGCCGCCCTGAGTCCTTTGGGATTGGGCGGCATATAAATAAAATTAAATACAAATACAAATACTTAAAATTCAGTAAGGCGTTTGGTAAAGTAGACCACAACCTACTCCTTGGTAAACTAGAAAAAGGTGGAATAGACAACATCACCACTAGATGGAACTGTAGCTGGATGATAAACCATACTCAATGAGTAGTCCTCAATGGCACTACATCCACAGTGAGAGAAGTAAGCAGTGGGATACCACAAGTTTCTGTCTTAGGCCCAGTACTCTTCAATATCTTCATAAATGACTTAGATGAGGGAATTGAAGGGGAACTCATCAAATATGCAGATGACACCAAACTGTCAGGAGTAGCCAACACCCAAGAAGACAAACTCAGGATCCAAAAGATCTAGACAAACTTGAACAATGGGCCCTATCCAACAAAATGAGTTTCACTGTGGAGAAAAGCAAAGTTTTACATTTAGGCAGGACAAATCAAGGATATAAGTAGAGATTAGGTGAGACTTGGCTTAAAAACAATAACTGTGAGAGGGACCTTGGAGTCCTATTGGATGATTACTTGACTATGAGCCAGCAGTATGAAGCAGCAATCAAAAAAACTAATATAATCCTGGATTGTATAAACAGAGGCATAGAATCAAGATCATGTAAAGTATTAGTACTGCTTTATAAAACCCTAGTAAGGCCATACCTGGAATACTGCAGCCAATTGTGGTCACCATATCACAAAAAAAGCTGTTGAGAGTTTGGAAAAAATTCAGAGAAGAGTAACTAAGATGATCAAAGGCCTGGAGACTAAAACATATGACGAATGGCTGCGGGACTTGGATTTGGCTAGTCTAAAGAAAAGAAGAAATAGGGGAGACATGATAGCAGAGTACCAGAGGGAAGGGCAAGAAACAACGGTTGGAAACTGATCAAAGAGAGAAGCAACCTGGAATTAAGAAGAAACTTCCTAACAGTGAGGACAGTTAACCAGAGGAACAGCTTACCTCCAGAAATCATGGGAGCTCCATCACTGGAGATTTTGAAGAAGAGACTAGACAATCACCTGTCTGAGGTGGTACAGGTTCTCCTGTTTGAGCAGGGGGCTGGACTAGAAGACCTCCAAGGTCCCTTCCAGCTCTATTCTATTTTAATAAAGTACTTGTAGTGGTATGTTGTCTTTAAAGCTTGGACAATACACCTAAGAGAAAATATATTATGCCAATATTGGTACCAAATATTTTATGTGCCAATATTGGAACTAAAATGTAGATTTGCTACAGCAGTAGTCAAAGACAGTCTCATTATATCAGCTTGCTACACTTGGTGAGGCAGGGAAGATAAACATGGTGTGGACCCCAATCAATTCTGATTGGTGGGGTCTAAAAAGAGAGCCCTCGCTGCCATTCTAACATCAGTTCTGAAGTGCCCCTCCTGGCCTTTTGGAAACATCTAAAAACCTGGCTCTACCCTCTCCCTTGAGGCTGATTGGCTGGTTAGTGCCCCGAAAGCCTTCTGTCTTCCTTTTAATTAACTTTTAATGTTGAATTTTAAGGAGCCTTCCCTTATGTTAATTTTTTATATTTATTTTTATATTTTTAATATTTTATTTGTATACCACTTACAGTCCCTCTGTGAGGGAGATAGGTGGTTTCTAAATTTCTAAATAAAAAAAATAAAGAACATAGTGACAAAATATGATTAAAATTAAATATAAAGAAGATCAAACTAATGATGACAATAGGTAAAGCAATGAGCCACAGGATTGACCGTGAAGGTATTGAAGTGCTAGATATCTTCTGCCTTTTAAAATCAACTATCAATGGTAAAGGAATAAGAAGTCAAAAAATATTCCATAACTAGTTCTCAGTAAAGCAGCCTTGAAGGTCTTGGCAAAGATATTCAAATGCTGTGATGTGTCTATAGTTACAAATAACAGAATAATACAAGCTATGGTATTCCCTGTGATAGTCTAGTTGGACTTTAAAGAAGCAGGCTAGGCAAAATATTGGTCACTCTGAACTTTGATATTGGAGAAGACTCCTGAGAATACCATGGACAGTGAAGAAAGCAAATCAACCCAGGGGTCTCACTTGAGGCACGAATGATCAGGTTCAAATTATCCTATTTTGGATTCGTTATGTGAAGACCATAAGGCTCTAATGCTGAGAAAGAGAAGAGGAGATGAATTGTTGCAAGATGGACAAACTCAGTTGTGGTGGCAATTAGTACACCATTGGGAGACTGGACAAAACAAGTTAGGGATAGATCAGCATAGCAGATCTATCTATGTGGTTGCTGGGAATCAAAAATGAGTTGATGGCACATAATCAATCAATCAAACAACTGCTTCTGAAATCTAAGTAAAATAAATGTGTTCTACTGTATAATGACTATTCCCAGGAGTGGATAAATTTGGTCTAGGGTAGTTTTCTGTATCTCAAAGAGTTTATGCTTGACACAAACACTTATATGTTGGCTACTGAATTTATTAAAATCTTCTGAATAATGCATAGATGTTTGCAGACAAATTACAAGCTCAGGAGGTTGTATTATATGAAGAGATGCATTTCAAATCTTTCCAGTTTTAAAAAAAAACCTGATTACCAGATTGCCTGACTTATATAATATGCATGCATTTAGGATGAGTAATTGGTTTTTGCACAGGAAATAACAACCATTTTGTTTATTCCATGACCACCCCTCCCCAACATACACATATTCCATCTGGACCTCAGCATGCATTACAGATGATAGTCATCAGCAAAATCTTTCTGTGACTCAGATGGTCTAATATTTCTTGCATATTAAATGGAGGCATATGAAAATACATAAATAATGGTGCATTTGCATCTTTCCCCCCCTCATGGAAAAGATCATGGAATAACAGCTTCCAGGAAATCTGGCTTTAATCCATGTTTGTGAGGTATGTGGGGTTTATACATTTCATTTACAAAATGAGAAAATATCTAAAGGCAACACTAGACTACATGGTCACAACCTGGATTATTCCATTTTATCTTTATCTGGGACTTCTTCAACACCAAGTAGTTTGTTTTCTGTGCAGTTCTACCACAACACAATCATTTTTATAATTTGATCCTTTGAATTTGTCATCCTAGCATAATGTGCTAGAAAATCCCAGATGGAAGCCACCTTTCCTAAGAATTTAAATCAAGAGCTTCTACAAAAAGTGCCTGGTTAGTGACAAATGACTTAATTCTTTCCCAGTTTGAAAATGGAGCTTTTCTAATATGATTGTTACAAAGAAATGAAAAATTTCCTCTGAGATATAACATTGCTTATGAAATACATTTTGAAGTGTAATGCTTGCCTTTTGAAAAGTGATGAATGAGATGGCCCATTTGATAAGTTGTTGTCCTAAGCACATCTATTTTCAATGAGTTCTTGAAGCAATCTCTTTAGGATCAATCTGTCAGTGGTTGTGCTAACTTTCAAACAAATCTGTATTTAGAAATAGTTCTTTTATGCAATCTGCCAATAGCAAAGTTGAGAAAACCATGCCTGAGATGAACTGAATTCATTTAAAATTCAGTCTTATTCATGTAGCTATGACTGATCAGCAAACAAAATAAGCAACATGTAATGAGGAGGAACCTATCTTTTATATATATATTTTTTTATTTTCTGAAAACTATCCTTCAAGACAATATATACACCAACCCTTAAAGATGCATAATTATATTGCAGAAAAAGGATACGATCAACACTGAGTTGGCGGCACATAATATTATTGTGCTATATTCTATTGTACTGTATTATGTTGCATTGCATTGTGTTGCATTGCATTGAATTATTTTTAGACATAGAGGTATGCATGTACTGTATAAGTAGCAGAAAGACATTTTAACTCTGTTAAATATTTCCCTTTCTTTAATGAATTTCACAAAATTATATCTCCAAATTGGGAGGACTTTCCTTTGAATATTGAACACTTCCACTGGTAACATTAATTTACAAATTGTACATGATTAATTGATTGATTGATTATATGCTGTTATTTTCAACTCCTACAAACTACCTAGCTAGGTTTTCTTCATGGTCTTTCACATTTTCCAACTGTAACTGAGCCCACCCACCTTGTTTATCCTTTTTCTTTCACCTTTTCCCAGCACTAGAACCTTTTCTATATATTTACTTTGGTGATATCCATGTGTAGAGGTGCTATTTTGATTGTTTGAAGACAGTGTTACCTATGGAAAATTCATCAGGGTGGCAGGAACTGGTAAGTCAGTCTCTTTTTCATTTTGGTTTCCTAAGCCATACAATCCAACTACATTTTCCTCTTTAATGTTGAATGTTTCTAACTTTGGCATACCAAGCAGCACTTCTTGCTTACATGTTATGTCAATTTCACATTGAATTTGGTCAATGAAATCTCTTCTTCTATATAAGCCCTTGTAGCATAAACTTGAATGATTGTCATATTAAAAAAAAGGTCCACTTCTAGGTTCCCAGAACTAAAGAATAAAGAAAAAAGAAACACTGTATTTAGAATATGCTATCAAAATTATATTGGTGAGCTAGAACTAATCTTTGTTTACCTCTCCAATTAAAGTATGAATTACATATATCTCTCCACCAGACTTTGAACTCCTACCAATATTTTAATGTAATTCCAAAAATGTAAATCTAACAAAGTATGCATTAAATATAGAATAACAGAGTTGGAAGGGACCTTGGAGGTCTTCTATTCCAACCCCCTGCTCAAGCAGGAAACCCTATACCATTTCAGACAAATGGTTGTCCAATCTCTTCTTTAAAACTTCCAGTGTTGGAGCATTCACAGCTTCTAGAGCAGTGTTTCTCAACCTTGACAATTTTAAGGCATGTGTACTTCAACTCCCAGAATTCCACAGCCAGCATTGCTGGCTGTGGAATTCTGGGAGTTGAAGTCCACATGCCTTAAAATTGTCAAGGTTGAGAAACACTGTTCTAGAGGCAGGCTGTTCCACTGATTAATTATTCTAATTGAATATATAATGGAGATTTAAAATATACAGTGGAGAGTTATAACATATATATATGATTAATTAATTAAAATAAGTTGCTGGTTTATTAAATATCTCTCTCTCTCTCTCTCTCTCTCTCTCTATATATATATATATATATATATATATATATATATATATATATATATATATATATATATGTCTTTGGTTATTCGGGTTTTCTACCGCGTCAAATTGGAAGTGTCTTGGCGACGTTTCATCGACGTTTCATTCGTCATCTTCAGGCTGGTATTTTCGGTTTTGTGCTTCTAGGAGCAATGTGTGATCATAGCTGTTTCTTCCTTTTAACTGCCAGTGGGGGTATGAACTGATTGGGTGGGAGCTTGGCTGTGTTCTGATTGGGTGCAGGTGTGTTCTGATTGGTTAGGGGCTTGGCTGTGCTCTGATTGGATGGGGGTTGGCTGTGCTTTATTGGCTGGGGGAGTGTTCTGTTTGGGTAGGGGCTTTGTTCTGCTCAGGTTAGTCTGAGTTGCAGGGGGTTTTGAGATGGTGAGCTGCATTGATGTTGTTTGGCTTCACATTCATGGTCATGCCTCATCTTCATGGTGGGTGTCAGTTTGCTTCATGTATGGATTGGAGGGGTTTAAAGTGGCTAATGATGCAGCTGTGGTCTGGCTTCTGGTTTGTGGTCGTGCCTCATCATCGGTGTGGGTTTGGGTTTGCTTTTTGCATGGATGTGTGGTGGTGACATCCTGTGTGGTTTTTGCAAGTGTGGATCTGGTGTCATTCTCTGTGTTAGGGACTCGTTTGTCAATAAGGGGGGGTTTCCAAATGGCTGGTAAGCGGAAGGTATCATCTTGTTTATTCATGCTGTGTGGGCATTTTTCTATCTCGATGGCTTCTCTGTTTATTCTGTTATTAAAGTGTTCAGTTTTGGCAATGGATGAAGATGAGGCATGACCACAAACATGAAGCCAAACAACAGCAATGTAGCTCACCATCTCAAATCCCCCTGCAACTCAGACTAACCTGAGCACAACAAAACCCCCACCCAAACAGAACACTCCTCCAGCCTATCAGAGCACAGGCATTCCCACATCCAATCAGAGCACAGCCAGGCCCCTAACCAATCAGAACACACCTCCATCCAATCAGAACACAGCCAAGCTGCCACCCAATCAGTTCATACCCCCACTGGCAGTTAAAAGGAAGAAACAGCTACAATCACACATTACTCCTAGAAGCACGAAGCCAAAAGCACCTGCCTGAAGATGACGAATGGGACTTCATTGAAATGTCGCCAAGACACTTCCAATTTTACGCGGGAGAAAACCCGAATAACCAAAGACCTACAGACAAACACCCGTGAAAACCTCAGAAAACACACACACACACACACACACACACACACATATATATCCTTAATGGTTATAAAAATATGAATCCCAGGCATATTTGTTCAATGATGCAATCTTCAATCTCCAGGAAGAGTATACTCCAGTTATTTATTGTTAAAACAACATTTAAAACAATAAAAACAGTTATATACAAGATTAAAACAACTTAGCTTTTGCTGGTCCTCTGCCAGCATCCTCAGAGTGGGGCTTAGGGGGTGGGAAAGTTCTTTTTATCCCCTTGCTGATCCAATTGCCTACTCATTGCCCTCATGACAGGCCACTCTTCCTGATTGCCTATAACTGCCTTAACTGTTCCGCCCTCTCTTTTTTGCACTCCAATTTTGTATTTTTCTGCTCTGTCATCTTTGTGCCGCCTCCTCCTCCCTGCGCTGTTATTACCAACACACTACTCAATCCCTCCTATCTACCTAATGCAAGGTGCCTCCTCCGATTCGACACCATACAAGTCCTGTCACGGAGTTCCTCCTTTTTATTCTCCCTGTTGGGCTGCTGAACGGCAGGTAGATCAGCAAACAAATAAATAAATAACGATCAGCAGGAGAATAAATGAAAAAGCATTTAATAAAATCAACCTAGCTTTTGTCGGAAGCTTCTGACATCGTCAGGGTTAAAAGCAGTTGTTGGGAAGAAGTTTATATATGATCACTGGATGCCTGAAAAAGAAACAGCTACCATCCCAGAACCAACGGTGGAGGAGTACACTGTAGCGCATGGAGTAGAAACAGGAAAGGGCTGGGCGCTGATGCAGGAGACATATTTAGAGTGGAATACAATCAGCTGAGACCGATGATGCATTCCAGAAGCCAGATGCAGGCATCCAGTTATCATATATAAGCTTCTTCCCAATGACTGCTTTTAACCCCGACAACGTCGGAAGCTTCCGACGAAAGCTAGGTTGATTTTATTAAATGTTTTTTCATTTATTCTCCTGCTGATCGTTATTTATTTATTTGTTTTATAATATGAATATACCCGGGAGTCGTATTTTTACCCACATTACTATATATATATAGTATATATATACAGCTTCTAGAGGCAGGCTGTTCCACTGATTAATTATTCTAATTAAATATATAATGGAGATTTAAAATATACAGTGGAGAGTTATAACATATATATATGATTAATTAATTAAAATAAGTTGCTGGTTTATTAAATCTCTCTCTCTCTCTCTCTCTCTATATATATATATATATATATATATATATATATATATATATATATATATGTCTTTGGTTGTTTGGGTTTTCTCCCACGTAAAATTGGAAGTGTCTTGGCGACGTTTTGACGAAGTCCCATTCGTCATCTTCAGGCTGGTGTTTTCAGCTTCATGCTTCGAGCAGCAATTTTACGCGGGAGAAAACTCGAACAACCAAAGACCTACATACAAACACCCGCGAAAACCTCAGAATATATATATATATATATATATATATATATATATATATATATATATATATATTTTAGGTTTTGCTAACAAAGAATAAAGAGAGAATGGTATAGCTATTTCGGGTTCCTTCCCCAGCCAAACCTAAAAATGTAAAAATGATGTCGCAGTTAGTGACTGCTGCTTGTGGATGGCTCTAGATTGAGCTGATACAGGCAAAAGAAAAGAAAAGAAAGAAGATTTCTTTCTCCCATATCTGGGCTGACAGGGTGTTCATTCAAGGTAAATATATATATATATATATATATATATATATATATATATATATATATATAGCCATTTAATAAAC